GCTCGTACGGCCGAATCTCGAGAGGAACGCCGCGTCGCTCTTCGAGCGGCTAAGGTGGCCCTCAACAAAGAGATCGCCAGACCTGTTTTTTAGACCTGTCTGGACGTATGCATCTTCCCATATGCGTGGAAGCGTCAGAACCCGGTGCTGCTCCCGAAGTCAGGAAAACCCCCTGGGGACCCGTCAGCATACAGGTCCATTTGTTTGCTGGACACCACTGGTAAACTGCTTAAGAGGGTCATTCTCAACAGGTTGTCGGCTTACACCGAAGTCAGTACGGGTTCCGTAAAGGCAGATCTACGGACGTCATCCAGACGGCAGAGGTGGTCCACCGGAAACGAAGGGGTATTCGTTACTGCGCGGTGGTAACTCTAGACGTGAAGAACGCGTTCAACAGCGCGTGCTGGGGGGCAATAGCCCGTTCGCTACACCAACTCCGAATTCCCGGAGGGCTGTACAAGATTCTGGAAAGCTACTTCCAGAATCGTGTGTTGAAGTACGACACATAAGATGGCGAAAAATGCGTTAGAGTCACCGCAGGAGTGCCACAAGGCTTCATCCTGGGCCCGGTGTTATGGAACGTCAAGTACGACGGAGTGTTTAGGATAAGATTCCCAGTATGCGTGAAAATTGTAGGTTTTGCCGACGATGTCACGCTGGTAGTCTACGGGGAATCCCTCGAGGAGGTAGCGCTGACAGCGGCTCACTCCGTCAAGCTTGTGGAGGGATGGATGAGATCCAGGAAACTGAAGCTTGCCCATCACAAGACGGAAGTGGTCGTAGTCAACAAGACGTTGACAGTCGGCGAGAGCACAATTAGGTCTATGCGCTCTCTGAAACTCTTGGGGGTTATGCTCGATGATAAGCTCAGCTTCGGGGGCATTATCCCGCATGATGTCAAACAGCTCGGCAGTGAGTGCCAGTAAGCGCAGGCTCCTCGCTGGGGTCGTAGTATCTATCCTCAGATACGGCGGCCCTGCGTGGGCTGCGGTACTGGATATTGACTGTCACAGGCGGAAATTAGAGAGTACACACAGGCTAATGTGCTTGAGGGTGGCCAGTGCATACCGCACCATCTCGAGGGAGGCTGCCTGTGTCATAGCAGGGATGATGCCAATCGGCCTCATCATTATGGAGGACGTGGTGTGCTATGACACGAGGACCGTTCGAGGGGTGCGCAACAACGTGCGAGCGTTGTCGATTGCGAGATGGCAGTCGGAGTGGGAAAACTCCACAAAGGGGAGGTGGACCTCCCGCTTGATACCTTCCGTATCCAGCTGGGTCAACAGGCGCCACGGGGAAGTAAACTTCCACCTGACACAGTTCCTGTCAGACCATGGCTGCTTTAGGAGTTACCTATGTGGACATGCAATTACTCCCACCTGCCCCGCGTGCGCTGGCGGCGAAGAGTCGGCCAAACACGTTGTGTTCGCCTGTCCACGCGTTATGCTAGCGATATGCGGAGCGGATACCAGTCCGGATAACATCGTCCCTAGGATGTGTGGTACCACCGAGAACTGGAGCGCGGTGGTGACTGCGGTCACCCACATAGTTTCGGAACTACAACGACAGTTGCCTACTGCCCGACTAGATCGATAGAGTATTGATAGAGGAGCGGCATAGCGCTATAGCGCCCCTCCCACGAAGTAATGCCTTCGGGCGAATCCGGGGAGGTCAAGGGCCAAGCGCACAGGGTAAGGTTTAGTGGGTCGGGAGTACAATTCTCCATTCCCCACACCCTGAGTTCTTTCTCAAGTGTCTGTGAGCAGATTCCCCCCTGTATAAAAAAAGACCAAATATTCAGCTTACAGACTAAACCATTAGGCCGAGAACAAAGGGGTCGAGTATTGAACATATTACTTCCATGTCGTTCAAATAACCGTACGTTCGTAGCAAAAAAAATATCAAAATTTACGTTCGGGAAAACCCTTATGATTATCGTTAGGATGGCCTAGAAAGGGTTGAACTCAAATTTGGCCGTGCTTAGCTGTTTTATCAGTCAACATTTTATACTCTCCATGATTGAGTATAACCCATTTGTCTGTCATTTGGTCTGAAATCCAGAACGATTGGGAGAACCTAAATCATCTAATATACCTAAAGAGGATTGTGAATTTTGCGCATAAACTCTATGAACCTGTTTGGACATATTTCGTTACTTAAGACATTGTACCAATCGTGGTTGATCTAGTAGATAATCTTATCTGAACCCCAGCACAATTTGGAAACTCTGGTACATCTAACATGCATAAAATGGATTGTAAATGATGTGCCTTAACTCCATGAACCTGTTTGGACTCGTTTCGTTGCTAAATACATTGTACCTTTCGTGATTTATCTAGTAGATCGTTTAATCAGAACTCTCGTACGATTTGAAGAACCTAGATCAACTTATAAAGGGTTATACGGTCAAAACTTGGTCAATATCAACTTGACGTATTTCTTTCAATTTTGCATTTAAAAAACCTGAACACCCCTCATTTTGAAGGTGTGTGTGTGTAGAATGTTGCTCCTATTTTGATTTTGGAATTCACTCTTCAGTTGTCAAAATGCCGTCCAAGCAAGAGGAGCAGCGTATCAAAATTTTGCTCGCGCATCGCGAAAATCCGAGCTACTCGCACGCAAAGTTGGCAAAATCACTAAAAGTTGCCAAATCAACCGTTACAAATGTAATTAAAGTGTTTGGGGAACGTTTGTCGACAGCCAGGAAGTCTGGATCGGGGGGAAATCGAAAACCGGAAGCCGCTGAGACGTTGCCGGTAGTTTCAAGCGAAACCCTAACCTCTCTCTCCGAGATGCCTCAAATAAGCTGGGTGTATCGTCTACAACCGTGCATCGAGCCAAAAAACGAGCCGGACTATCGACTTACAAGAAGGTAGTGACTCCAAATCGCGATGATAAACAAAATACGACGGCCAAAGCGCGATCCCGGAGGCTGTACATGACGATGCTGACGAAGTTTGACTGCGTGGTAATGGACGACGAAACCTACGTCAAAGCCGACTACAAGCAGCTTCCGGGACAGGAGTTTTATACGGCAAAAGGAAGGGGAAAGGTAGCAGATGTTTTCAAGCACATGAAACTGTCAAAGTTTGCAAAGAAATATCTGGTTTGGCAAGCCATCTGTACCTGTGGCTTGGAAAGCAGCATTTTCATAGCTTCCGGGACTGTCAACCAAGAAATTTACGTAAAAGAGTGTTTGAATAAACGTCTGCTGCCTTTCCTGAAGAAACACGGTTGTTCCGTACTGTTTTGGCCGGATTTGGCATCTTGCCATTACGGTAAAAAGGCCATGGAGTGGTACGCCGCCAACAACGTGCAGGTGGTTCCCAAGGACAAGAACCCTCCCAACACGCCAGAGCTCCGCCCAATTGAGAAATACTGGGCTATTGTCAAGCGGAACCTAAAGAAGACCAAAAAAACTGCTAAGGGCGAGCAGCAGTTCAAGGCAAACTGGCTTTCTGCGGCGAAGAAGGTGGACAAGGTGGCTGTACAAAATCTGATGGCAGGGGTCAAGCGTAAGGCCCGGCAATTCGGATTTGGAAAAGCGGAAGCCTAACTGAATATTTTTCCTGAATTTTATACTAATTGAACTTGAAAAAGAAATTTAATTTGATTTTTTAAATAAACGATTTCATCGATTTACACGCGTTTTCCCTTGACCAAATTTTGACCGTATCACCCTTTATACCAACAGGACAATGAATCGTTAATGATGCGCATAGGCCGTATGAATCTGATTGAACATATATCATTGTGAAGACATCACCCTGTTTGATCCAGTAGATCAAATAATCTGAACTCCACGACAATTTGAAGACCCTAGGTTTTATCGTGGTCTAGGAAACTTATACTGAATTATAAACTCAAGCTTAATGAACGCTGGATTTTCCAGGTGACTGTGTACGATTTTTTTCTACGATTCTCTTCCATGGTGACTGTCTCCAAAACAAGAGCATTTTATGAACTGAAAAAGTACACTGTTTTTGTTTTTATTGTTGTCAACAAATACACGTCAAAAGGTTCCAAAAACGTTCTCTAGGAGCGCTGTAATAATCCAAAGAGTTTGTTCCATTACTAAGTGGGCCACGGTTTATGTTCTCAATCATATAATCCTCATAAGGTTTTGGATATCTAAGCGATCGACGTTGGCTACAACCTTGTCCTTTTATATTTTTACTGTAAAGCTAACATCTGAAAGTACAACTTTGCCGAAAAAAGTATGGGACTACTTAACTATTTCTTGTGATTTTATATAGCCAATCATAGGAGGTTTAAGGCAAAAAGTAAGTAGCCACCCAGGACGGAAGCATCGCTGGAGCTGTTCGGGATACATGATCTAACGCAAGAGACCTGAGCAGGAGAAATATGGTTTCAAAAGTAGTTCAAATCACCCAGGCTCAACAATGTATGGATGTCCCGATAAAAATTTTTGAACCCGTAAAATTTTATGATGCTCGCCGCAACTCTGTGCGTGTAAATCATAGTTGTGTTCACAAAATATTTCTTCAAATCTTCTACTGTTGAGATTTATAAATTCTACAGGTTCGATGATGTACCGACTGAATTTTTCAACCCAAATAGTCATCTAGTTAGATTTCCTAACTGAATTTTTGAACCCTTAGTTTCCATAAAGCATCATAACACCATGTTAGCTGTGCGACATATACATAATAAAGTTGGCAAAATATTTTTGATTCTTCAAATCAATTCCAGAGATCTGACCTTGAACTTCTATAGGTTCAACTAGGTATTCTACGATGACTAGACTGAATTTTTCACCCCGTGAAGCTTCGTGAAACCTCATAATATCATGTGAGATATATGATCGAAATGACAAAGAATTTCAGGTTCTCCAAATTATCCTGGAGGTTCGATCTTGATGGTACGTGGTGCCCCGACCAAATGTTCGATCCCGTAGAGCTGCAGTTAATGGTGTTGAGCCAAAGGATTGATACAGGAATGTTAAAAACATATGATTTTGTTGCAAAAAAGGATACAGTTGCTTTCCCGCTCCATATGCGTTTCCTTCGGTGGGCCGGGCAGGTTCAGTATGACCAGTTGAGCGTCGTGCGATTTGTTGACTATAACCTCGTTGAGTTTCACAGCCGTGTGCATTCGTCTCACGTTGCCTTCATCACTATGTGTCGGGGATGAGAGAATAAATGAGCCGTCATCAGTAAAATGCGATTAAGCGGCTAATAGCAGACATAAAAGGAAGGCATTTTTTCCCGGTAAGATACCACGTCCGCTATTAGCACGCGAGCGAGCGACCGACCACCGGATGGTAGCAGGTATAGGTTTTCTGAATAACTTACGGCTTATAATTAGCTTTACTAGGCGATTTGGGCGTTTCGTCCCCGGCGCTCTTCTTGCTGTCCTTGCCGGGCGAGGCCACATTGTTGGCCACTGGCTGCGGGGATGGTTGCTGTTCCTTCTTTTCGGAATTTCCATTGTTCACTTCCTTGTCGTTCTCGCTTTCTTTGGTGTCCTTCTCCTTCTCTGATTCAGTCTGTTTGATAGAGACGGGTGCGAAAAAGGTGTTTAAAATTCAATCAAGGATGACAAAAAGGATGGCTGGCGACACGATAAATTTCGTACCTCATGCTTTTCCTCACGGTCGTCGTCATTGAAGATGTCCTTGTTCTCGGATGGATCGGCGAACCGAACCTTCGATGCCGTTCGAGTGTTGTTCTCCATGTGGTGATGGTGATCCACGATTGCTTGTACCTGGTTTGGTTTTGGTATGATCATGGCGTTTTTTTTTTTGTTTTTAAATAAATGGCGAGAGAAAGGTGAGAAAAGCAAACGGACCAAATATTAGAATGTTGTTGTTTGGAAGAAAGGAAAAAAATGCATTAAACTGAACATATTTTCGTTCGGTTGTTGGACGGTTGATGATTCTGCCTTTTTTCGTTTTATTGATAAAACGAGGAGGGAGGTGGAGCACTGGAGATGTTTTAGCTCAGATACAGCTGGGCGTCCTGCTTGGATTAACGGGAGTTGAAAATAATACTTTTAACGATCGGTGAGTAACAGCGAGATAAGAACGATGGGAAAAGTTAAATTATACTGAAACTTGAATTGCAGATGGGGATTTTTTATGAGCATTTTATAGAGTGAGAATAAGTTGGATGTTAACCTTATCCCGGGGGTTATTGCGCAATGAGTTGCGGACATTTTGGTTATTTATTATTGCGATAAATGGAGGAGGATGGCTGACTTGAATTTATTAACTTGAAGTTGTGAGGATTGTCAAGGAATAATGGGTTGTTGCAGTTGGACTTGGACGATGGTGGAAAATTTCAATTACGATGTACGCGGATGTACGGGTTAGGCAAAAGATGTGCGTCTATCTTTAAAAACTGTCGCATTAATAACCCTTCGCTCATTTTCAACTTCTATTCTTTTTTTTTTTTTTTTTTTTATTTATTATAGTCACTTTAACGCTCTTGGGTCATTCGTGACTTGTCCGGGGGTGAGATTTGAACTCGTGACTTTGGCGTCAGAGGTATGGATGCTAACCACTACGCCGGGGTCGCCCCCTCAACTTCTATTCAATTTTCATACTGCCGTACTCTAACGGAACTATCCACCTACCATCTTCTAAAGATCATTCTCTAGCTAATAAATTATCACACTAAAGCTTCATGTTAGCATTTCCAACCAACTCTGAAAATCGCTAACTTCGCGTATGAAGTAACATAAAAACACTTTGAATGTAAAAAAAACTAGTTCAATGGTAGTCATTTGAGAGGGTCCAATGCGACATTGGCCATGTTGCGATGCCTCAAACCACATCAGAATTCATCTACTTCAAACTTTTGAATAAAATTAATGCATGCTAGCATGAAGTTTGCATCTTTTAGTAGTATTATACTGCACAAAAACTTCGAAAATGTTAGCAAACATTCGTCTTGTGGACGTTATAAAGTGAGCCATGTTGATGAGAAAATTAGTTAAAAGTGAACTATTTTTGAAAACATAATAAAACCGAAATTATGTCAATCATTAAAACAAATACTTTTTCTTTATAGTTATGAACATAGAAGTTTCTTTTTTCTTTAAAGTTATGAAGAAGTTTCTTAGACTTTCTTGAACTAAATTAGTGCCGGTAAAAATAGGTCCAATATGATTCATTTTTGGATAGGTCCAACAAAAAATCATTACTCAACCTTACGTACGAACGTATGCGGTTCCAAAGGTTGTTACAAATTTATTTGAATTTCCTAACTTGAGTTGAAGGATCTTCTCCAGCGTTCCAATTCCCAATCAGTCGATGGTGACGCATTACCTCTGACTGCTTTCATGTTGGCTTGATAACACCGAACTCTCTCTGCAGTGGTCTTTGGTCGTTTCTGAGAACCGTCTGCCTAACGATCCTTCGCATTCAACTGACTGTAAAACATATCTGGTACCTCTATAAATGCAATTAGATTAACATCCTTTTACATATTCTGCTCAAAAGTTACTCTCTGCCCCTCCCCATTCAGAAAAAAATTGCAGGATATCCTGTCAGGGGCGGAGCTCAGAAAGTATGTTTTGGGCAGTATATGTACAAAAAGGATGGACTGTCGGATGTGAATCTTATTGCATATATAGAGGTACCAGATATGTTTTACAGTCAGTTGTTGATAAATCACGAACTGAATATCAAAAATAAAATACAGTCATGCCTCGTGAGCGAATTTTTTCTAAAATTTGAGTGTTTTAGCTCTCTGTGCAGAAGCGGGTAAAATTGTTTACTTTACTTAATTGTAGTTTGTCAATTAACCACTTCTTTAGAGCAGTAAAAATGACGTTTACTACTACTCGAACTTTGAAATAAAACATTATTTTGAGATTTTTTCTTCCAGAATTACGAGAAAAGTAGCCAACATTTGTGCGTTTCATACAAAAATAAAAATAAGTTTGTCCAGTTTTGTAGAAAGTCACGCCAAAACTGCTTGACTGCTTGGTAAATTGTTATTTATCGAAAAAAAAGTGGTTGTTAAAGTTCGTGTATTTTTAAGGTTGTCATTAAAGGAAGGGAGGGGGTGTTTCGTGACGCTGATGCCCTGCTTACATTATTCTGGCTACTTTTTTGCACAGTGCTAGTACACTAGCGCAAGCAAATCCGCATAGATGTAAACACCACATTAATCACTGACTTGCTCCTGCTTGCTGCAGGATCCGGTGCCACGCCGTCCGAAGCGGTAATGAGCAGAGGCACAACAGCAGCGCTGTTTTATATCTTTTCAGGTTCAAGCAGAACGATGTGCAACCAAGTGGTATTCGATTATGATGACTGGGTTTGGGGGAAACGTATATTTCATGAAAACAGTGATAAAACTATCATTTGTACATTTTTGAAAAGTTGTTTTATCGAAAATTTGAAAAGTATTTATTTCGTAAAGTAATATCCTATCGATTGCCGTATTTGGACTTTGATTTCATCTATAAATGACAAAGTTACAAGCGTTCAAAACCTAACATTATTTCACCACACATATTTTTTGATTTGCCCCCCAGTATAGTCGATAAAGACGTAGTTCTACGTCAAAAACACGGGCTGGACAGTAAATGTGAGTAGCTATGTAGTAGTAAAGGAGTATTTTCCAAGGTTTATGGAGTATTTCGTCGTTACAATTCTACAAAAACCATTTTCCCCTTTATACCAAGAAAGTCGAAAAATGTTCCAACTTAAAAATTTGCTCGACCATACATGGGAATTGAACTTGGCTAAGAGAGGCCTAATGAATTATCACATATCTTCTCAAAAGATACTATTGTTTGAAAATCTAACACAGAATTATTTCAACAACTTGGTCAATTTTCCGATATCCCACATTCATAAATACTTTTTGCGATTTCATAAAAAAAAAACAATATTAGCTCTAGTGTTGGGAAAATATCAAAAAATCAAATCTCACTAACGCCCAAGATCACGCTTTATTTTCGTAGACAAAAATTAACAAGCAAACTACTGCGGTTGATTTTGCAAGCTGTGATATCGCAGCTCGGAATATTAACAAAACTCACCAACTGCAAATCTCTCCAAACTGTGGTGAGATTGAGTTTCATGATTTTTGCTTTACACCCGAATGCAACCGAAACTTCCATAACGGCTTGCAGCAGTCCCTTCGCTTCTGCCATCGGTGAAGATTAAAAAGAGATAGCAAACTATGCTTTCTCTTTCTAAAAAACGATGTGCAATGGAATCATTTTTGTGTCGAGTCAACTCTCAGCTTGATTTTTGCACGTTGTGAATAGTCTCGCAATATCAAAGGAGCTTGTAAAATCAATATCAAGCCTGATATTTTGTTTCAATATCACGCGTGATATTACGAGCGCATGAGAGCGGAAGAATATCAATTGATTTCTGATTTTGCCAACACTGATAAGCTCAATACCAGTTTATTTTTGAAAGTTGTTTTCAGATCTTTAAAAACTAAGTTACGTCTACTATCCCTTACTCGATATTCCCTAACTCGATCAATTTTTAAGTCAATGTAAACTCAGGTTGTAATTTGTAATGGAAACGTAGGAATAATTTTCTCAAACTCGTTTGCTTGGACAAACCTCTAAGGAAGTCTTATCTGGAAACTTCAACATCACACATGACAGCTCCTACAAAAGATACCGAATGAAACTGGAGCTCCACATTTACTATAGTGCAGCAAACAGGAAGTGAAAATTTCATCAAGTTTCAGTTTCAAGACGCTTCCTTAGAGATTCACCTTAATACTCCGAATACGATGCCTCCGAAAAACGCGTAACTGCTAGTTTGCAATGGCATAGCTTAGCCATTTTTGATGAATTTCAAAAATAAAATGAATCACATAACTAGTGGAAAATATCCATGTGAATTTCATATAATTTTCATGTGATTCCAATGACAAATGAACATTTTGTGTCCAATGAAATCTATATGGTTATTCACATAGAATTTATTATGATGTGTGATATACAGAAAAAAAAGTTAAGGGTTGTGTCCAAAGCACGACCGCATTGTTGACGTAGAACTACGAGATTGTTGTTGATGCTCCGTTCACTAATATATTAATAACAAAATAAATGGTTTAGAAAGTTAACTCCAAAATAAACAATTCATTATTCAAATTTTTGAAATTGGGCGGTTATTGAATAAACCATTACCTTTGGCCGCTTTCTTGTTGGTTCGACACAATCTAACGCGTTCAGCAACGGTCCACGTCTATTTCGCAGGTTTTCCTGCCTACTGGTCTCTCACGCGCTTTCGATAATCGCGGAGATATTTAGCAGCCATGCATTGAGAAATTTTGAAGATTTTTACAGAATTTCTCATTAAACACTTGATTAACTTCGAATATGGGCTCTATCCAACGCGGAATGTAAACACTGAAGCCCTTACTGTACCAACTGGAATATACAGAGAATGCTGCAATGCATAATCACGATGGCGTTTAAATATGATGTCTGTGTTTGGGAAACAATCACAAAATTAAATTTTGATTGCCTTTATTTTTGCACACGCCGGTAAGCTACACAGACTCCTCCCATCATGAGTAGTTTGCTATCAAGTAGCGAGACTTTTCCTTTGCGTAGTTTGCCAATTTTGGCAATTAGCGAGTTATTAACGAAAGAACCGATCAAAATCACTTGCACCCCTGCTTCCAAGTTTGGCTACAAGATTATAACTCTGGAGAGCATTTTGTGTGGTCGTTGGGGCGTGTGGTTCTGAATATGGACAAACAGTCACAGATAAATTC